AATCAAAAGTTATTTCAATGTAAAACATCTTAACACACCGAGTTACATGTTAACATAGGACCCCTTCTTTGATATCACCTGCACAATTCTTACATCCATTGAACGTGTGAGTTTGTGGATAGTTTCTGCTTTCTTTCCAGGATGTCAGAATACCTTCCCAGAGCAGTTGTTTAGATATGAACTGCCTCTTGATATGAACCATTAGATCTTCTGCTTGAGGATACTCCAAAGGTTCTCAATAGGGTTGAGGTCAGAGGAGGATGGTGACCACATCATGAGTTTCTCCCTTTTTATGCCCAATAAAAGGGGCACACAGGAATTCCTTGCAACATTCCTGTGTCATGCTGCAAGGAATGACACAGTGGTATTACTTGCAGCATGCATTGTCATGCATGAATATGATTTTGCTACTGAAGGTACGGCTCTTCCTTTTGAGCCATGAAAGAAAGTGATCAGTCCGAAAGTCCATATACTTTGCTGAGGTCATTTTCACACCTTCGGGGACTCTGAAGGGGCCAACCAGCTCTCTCCCCACGATTTCGGCCCAAAAATATGACCTCCTTTCTGACATCACAGCCGTGTTGGGACGTGGTGGCCTTCATACCTTGTCATATGGCACTACACTATCTGATCATTTTCGTCAGCAGAGAGATCCTTTTTCTTTCCAGTATTGCTTGAAACCTGTAGCCTGCTTAATAATGTGGAACATCCTTCTTAAGTAGATTTCTTTTAATTGAGCTCACCAGACAAACTAATCAACCAGCTCTCTGAAATTAGTTAGTGATTGAAAGACCCCTGACACACAATACCATCTATAAATTTAATAGCACAACAAAAAAATTTAATCTTTATGACACTTAAATCCAATTTGCATAATAATTTGAAACATGGTGTACTGTTTTAGAAGAATAAAACAATATGAACCAAATTTCCATCCGTTCTCAAACACACCTGAATCAAATTAATGACTCATTACCAATCCTCTCCAGAGCTGAAGGACTAAATGCTGGTGACTGAATTCAGACTTTTGTTTATATTGGAGAAGGACTACCAGTGACTGGTATAATGTCCAGCATCTGTCAGCCTGCGGCGTGTTTTTTTTGTGTTGTGTTTTTCCAAAAAAACACAACACAAAAAAGTGCATTTATTTTGCCGTTAAAAGAAGAAATTTGTAATAACCTAAGAATAATTTTTAACCAAAAAATCTCTAACACAAATCATAAATTTGCTTTGGGAGTTTAAAAAACCTTACATGATTCACTGATTGCTTTTGTATCTACCCTGTTAAATAAACATATAAAAACTGTATACTTTTGGAATTGTATATTTATTGACAGACTGTCTAATAATAAGTCCTGCAAGAGATCAACTGAAGGGCCCTTGATTCTCACTACTTATGTCTGTTTTAGGAAGCCAGTAAGTGGGTGACACTTACACCTGGGAGGAGATGTACCCAGGACATGGTGGACATGAACCTGCTACGTTACAAACACACTGGCCATCATGCTATTAAAACACAGGACTTCTTTGTTTTCCACCTGATGGATGGAAAGAATCAATCACCATCACAGCGCTTTCAGATTTTTGTCAAAGAGCTGGAGAAAGGTGATGGAATTTAGTCTTACATTCTTGACATGGATTGAGATGAAATTCGTTTCTATTGATATTCCTCTGGCTGCCAGTATACATGAGCATCGCAGCTACAATAGTGTTTAAGAAGTCATCCTAGAAGGAAATGTCATGATAATTACGATACATTTTATGGTATGCAGTTCGTTTATTCAACTGGACAGGCAGAAGAGCTATGCAGACCAGAGTCATATTAACTATCATCAAATGGTCACAGTCATGAATGACCTGGAGAGTTTCTGTGATGCAGCAAACCTCCTTCCTATTGATCTGAAAACAGCATTTCATGTCTTTTGTTCTGAAAACTTTTAACACTTTTGCTTACATTTTCATTTTGAAAGCAGAACTTCATGTCTTTGTTCTCAGAACTTGTAACGTTTGTACTCAAAACTTCTTCTCACGCTCAAACTTAGGCTGCATTCACACTGCAGCCTGAAGTGACCCAATCCCGATTTTTTGTCAAATTTGATTTTTTTTTGCTGGGGCCATTCACACTGCCAAACATATGCGATCTGTATGTGTTCTTTAGTGTGAACGGGCAACGACCTGAAAGTGTCCCGCATGCGCAGTTTAGGCCGCAATAGCGTCAGTGTTCTCAGTGTTCTGCCAACTGCAATAAAAAGAAGTGCTCAGTGTTTGCGGAAGTAAACATGGAGGCTAACGTTGTTGGAGTATAGCTTACACATTTGAAGTTGTTGTCCGATCAGAGCAGCATATTAATCCTCATATAATCTGTCATAGTTGTTTTTTTCTTCCTACTTGCGTGCATCAGGACCCAGAATAGTGAGATTTGTTGAGTATGTTACACGTCTCAGCTGGGTCGAAACAATTGTAACAAATGATGTTTATTGATGTCTCCGCTTCTCCTTTCTTCTGAGTTGAAAGCCTGTAAACATGAATAACTTCAATGAATGAAGGAACGACCGCCATCTTCTTCCCCAAACTGTCTCTTTATTACAAATTCTCAAAATCATGAAATCATATAATGAACATTCCTTTGTACAATCATGTCCAAATGTCCTTTTGTTGTTCTAAAACAACCATATGGCATCCACTTCAGTGAACAGCATCAGCTCCCACCAGCTGTGACAGCATCAAAGGCTGAACTCAAAAGAATTCAACAATAAATTTAAATCTCACAGATTTACATAAAAAGAACACCAATTTCTCAAGTGCAGCGAAATTTTAAGAGTACTAATTTCTTTGAATTGTAATAATTCTGAAAGAATTAATCATGTTATTGGTTATATAATTTAACATGGACATGTTAATCTAATTTAAGCTCTCATAAGCTTTGAATAACTGTATGACTGACTCCGTCAGTCATACAGAATGAACGTGTCCATAAAGTTGTGCATCTAAACGCCATTATTAATAAAAAGATAAGTGTCACAAATCTGTGAAGTGGGACATCTGAGTTGTGGAGCGGCTGGAGGAGTGCTTTATGACTGACTGACTCAGTCAGTCATACAGTTATGACTGTACAGTGGAATCGATTACATAGTAAGGAAAATTGTAACATCTATAATAAATATTTAAACTCTGATAAGAACTGATGACATGTAGCTGGGAGTAACCTTAACACTCCTACATATTAATCACTCTTCCTTTTAACAGATAACAACAGAACACAACACGTCAGGATACCTCTGTAACCTTAATAAAGTTGGATTGGGGAGTGGAACGCAGCTTATAGATACATGTAGCCATCTCTAAAATAGCCGTTATAGCTAAAATCTCGCTAACTGCGATTATTACAGAAATCACTCTTTTTTTGAACGTCTAAGCATGTGATTGTGAAATCAGTACCGAATTAATTTGTCACTTTACATTTTAGGGGGGACAGTTTTCACCAGCTTAACTACTAACCTGTAAACATGAATAGCTTCAGTGAATAAAGGAACGACCGCCGTCTTCTTCCCAAAACTCTGTCTTAGGAGTGAGGAGGCGGGGCTCCTCACTCCTAAGTAACTAATTTTGGTCAATTTCAGTCTAAAAAATGCATATATAATACATTGGAATACTAATAACTTATGTGGTGGCTTGTACTTTTAAGCAGATTTTTTTTGACAATATAAACAAGCAGTGATGGCATAGTTACTTTGAAAAAGTAACTTGAATTGGATTACTGATTACTCCTTGAAAAAGTAACTTAGATTACTGATTACTTGATTTGGAAAGTAACTAAGTTACATTTAAAGTAACTTTTTTAGTTACTTTCAGCAGCTGCTAGCAACAACACTCTGCCACCTATGAAAATTATATTAATCTTTGCCAATACTTAATTGTAAGTTATTTTATAATGGTAACATCAAGAATGTGTCTCCACTTATAAGGTTGAACTGAAGGGGAAATTATTTCACGGTCACAACAGTACAAAAAAAAAACTTTTTTGTGAGTGTTTTCGTTCCAGAATTTTCTGGAAAACTATAAATAGGATTTTAAACACTCCTGTCCCAGCTGCCCCAGCCTCCCGGTTGTGCATTACGGACCTGCATTTTGTGTCAGAGCGCAGCTCACAGCGCTCCTCCAGCCACTCCACAACTCAGATGTCCCACCACTGCACAGATTTGTGACACTTATCTTAATATTAATAATGGCGTTTAGATGCACAACTTTATGGACACGTTCATTCGTGGTTGTTTTCACGTTTATGGCGCTGTTCATATTAGTCTCGATGTTTGCAGTTTTCTGGAGCGCAACGCGAGGCTCGATGTCATTCACAGGTAACATTGTTAACGGTGGCCACGGATGGATTGTAAAGGTGCGGGATAATAACCACTCCAGAGGGGAATAGTGTTAATCTTCCTTTAATGAAGATAACCGAACAGGAGTACAGCTGGATGGTTTATGTGCTGATGTAGACAAACTTTACACGTCCACACCAGAGTCAGCGAGCATCAAGAACTAACACAAAAAAACATTCCCCCTGGAACACACAACTGCTACATGCAGTGTTCCGTTAACGAGGTAAATGCAAAGTAAGACATTTAAACTCAGAGCGGCCTAGCCAGTATGGGAAATAATGCAGGCATAAGCAGATACATACAAGTACTACACTACCTCCCCCCGGCCCCTTTCAAAGAACATCAAACTACTATGGCATGGCTAAGTTTTACAGCCAAATACACACTTGCAACATTACTAGTGCAAACTTTAAGGTTACTGGAGCAAACCTTTTTTGTTGTTTTTTCTCTAACTTTCAACACCCTGCTTGGAACTTTAGCATAACTAATCTCTTAATGAAGGATAATTATTCAGTCCAGTCATTTTGATAGCGGGCAGGGGCCCGTATTTCTCAACCCTTAAGAGTCTTTTGAACACGGGGTCCTTGTTTGTCTTCAGATCCAGAGGTATGTACATCTTGCTCCCGATGTTGCACAGCCAACCTCCTTCTGCGGGCTGCAACCTGACGCTTGCCTTTTTGCCTTAGCAGTTTTGGCGACCCAACCAGAGCTTTCCTTCCGCTGTCACTTCCAGGGTCATCTTGTGCTGGTGTAGGGAAAGTGGTCATGTGTTTGGGTAATGGAACTACATCTTAGCACTGAGGAAGGACCACATGTCTTTGTCGTCTGACCCATGCTGGTATGATATCACTTGTGTAAGGCTTCAACTGATTGTGGTGCATCTTTTTGTCACGTGTTAAGATCTCATATAGTACAGGTCCAAGCTGGGCTATAATAATACATGGGCCTTTCCAGGGGTGCTGTAACTTGGGACTAAAGCCCAACTTCTTTGTGTTGTCCTTTACAAAGACCAGGTACCCCATAGTGTAACTGCATTGTTTGGCATGCAGGTCATGGGTCCTGTTCTGTCTGAGCTGAGCTCCACGTAGATGCTTCCGTGTGTTGTAGAAATTTTATGAAGGAATGAGAATCTGTTTCAATAATAAGAGAAAGATTAATCTTTGTCTTTAAGTTTCTTTATTCGAAGGCAAAAGCGTTCGAAGACCCGTCTCACTGAGCGCAGTCAGGAGAAGAGCCCTGAACAACACACATCACATAGTTATATAGTCACAAAGACAAAGACCATCCCAAAGTCTGATGTTACCTCTACTGCCAGATGGCCACAGAAACACCCTGACCCCCTCCTCATGATCTATCTCTCACCTCTTGGAGGGGATGATTTTATGGCAGGATGGAGAGCTTATAAGGATTTCAGGAGGAACTACTAACACTTCTTTGTCAGTTCATGGGGTCAAACAGGGTACAAACTACATTCCACACATCAGTCCTTCAAGACAATTATCAGATCAAACATTTTACCCAAGATGTCTTCAGGTCTCTTCTGCTATCACAGCTGCGGAAACATCTAAACATTATCTGCAAACTTATTTAATGAAAAAACACACCTTACAGAAATACAAAATACAGCAGATATAATCCGTACATAAATGATAAAAAAGTATCATCAGCTCCATCAAGAATGAAATAAGACTAAATTCAAAATTTTCTATCACACATGCCATGACTTCGCTAAGAGTCTTTTCAAGGTCATGAGCATACTCCAGAGGGTCCTTTACAATCCACGTTCGTTCTCTAAGACAAAGCCAGAGGTCCTGTGGCTGATGAACTTATCTCCCCAGCATCAGCATATTTGGTGAGAATCCAATGCTGGAGTTCTGTGCACTGCGATATGCAGCTTTTAGAAGAGGCAAATGCTCATCCCAGTTCTTCTGATTTTGGTCTACATAGCAGCGGATCATCTGCAGAAGGGTGCGGTTAAATCGTTCCACTTGGCCGTTTGAAGCAGGATGGTACAGAGTGGTTCTGGTCTTAGAGATCTGGAAAAGCTGACAAATCTTTTTAAAAGCACACTTTCGAAGTTGGGGCCTTGGTCCGTATGGTGCTCTAATGGGGCTCCAAAACAAGCTAGGAAGTTGTTGACTAACATTCTGGCAGTTGTTTCTGCTCCTTGGTCTGGAACTGGGAAAGCCTCAATCCACCTCGTAAACTGATCCATGATGACAAGAATATACTTGTTTCCAGAACTTGAGATGGGAAAGGGGCCCAATATGTCAAGGTACAACCGGTCCATTGGTGCTCCTGCCTGGTAACTTTGTAGCTTAGCTCTCTTCCAGGGGCTGCTTGACATCAGACCTTTGCATCGAGGGCATTGTTGGATGTATTTGTGGAGGTCACTTCCCATGCCGTACCAATGCAAGCTCTGCCTGAGACGTTGGAGAGTCTTTGTTTCACCTAGATGCCCTGAAAGTGGTGGG